TATATATATATATATATATATATATATATATATATATATATATATATATACATATATATACATATATATATATATACATATATATATATATATATATATATATATATATATATATATATATATAATATATATATATATATAATATATATATATATATATATATACATATATATATATATATATATATATATATATATATATATATATATATATATATATATAAACACACACGCACACAGTGATGGTAGGTTAATTAGCAATAGTGGCCAGCGATGAGTGATTGTTCCCATGTTGGCCTTTGATGTAGGGGCGGAGGCATAGAAGGGGGGTAGGGGGGAGGGAGGAGGGAGGGGGTGGGTCGACTCGCCACGCCCCGGAAACAAACGGCTTCCGGAAACCCGACCATGTTGTCTAAATAAATTTGAATTCATGCACACCTTCGTCGTCTTATCATGCATGTCCACATCGAGTTTTATTTGGACCTCATATTTTATGCATATTTTCTTTGACCCCTTTTTTTCAGCCCTCTGCTTCTACCTTCCACTTCTGAAGAAAAAAAAAACGCAATATGTTATCCGCACATAATTCAAACCATCCAACCCTTCTGTTTATACCCACACATGCATGAAGCCGAGTGCCCATTCCCGCCAGAATTGAATTACACTCAACCTAACTCTCGCGTTTTCCATTTACGCTCAGCAAGAACCCGCTTTTTCAAAATCTACGCATGATCTTTTTCTTATTTTGCATTCATGAGACCTTTCTTTGGGCTAAATCAATCACTGCATTAACCCCTTATTTTGACTTGATGCTAATATCTCTTTCGTCACAAGGCGGCCATTTTTACTGGTATGGAAGTAATCGAGAAAAAAAGAGATAAAAGTGGAATTAAAATCATGCGTACCAACATGTGCTCATCATCTGTAGTGGTCGCAGTAAAATTCGAGATAAGAATGCATACTTAAAGGAGCAATAATACTCTCAGTTGCTCAGACTCGACCATTTGGTGTGTGTATATATGGATATGATGAACGTGTTTTCGTTAGGAAGACCAATTGTAAGAGGTGAGTGGGGAAGAGGTGGGATACATACATATATATATATATATATATATATATATATATATATATATATATATATATATATATACATATATATATACATATATATATATATATATATATATATATATATATATATACATATATATATATATATATATATATATATGTGTGTGTGTGTGTGTGTGTGTGTGTGTGTGTGTGTGTGTGTGTGTGTGTGTGTGTGTGTGTGTGTATGTGTGTGTATGTGTGTGTGTATGTATGTGTGTGTGTGTGTGTGTGTGTGTGTGTGTGTGTGTGTGTGTGTGTGTGTGTGTGTGTGTGTGTGTATAAATGCACAAATATATACGTGTATTTAAACAGACAAATAGATAAATGTATATGAGAGAGAGAGAGAGAGAGAGAGAGAGAAGAGGTAGAGAGAGATAAGAGAGAGAGAGAGAGATGACTGAAGATCATTCCGTTCACGACCGAACACTCCCCGCTTGCCATGACGGGATAATTCAAGTCGTGATGTTTCCATGACAACGGTGACGTCACGCCTACCCCTATCCCCCCCTCCATCTCTCTCTCCCCCTCCCCCCCACTTTCCCACCTCCTTTTCACACCTGAGAGGCGGGCTCGCTCTATACATATAATAATAAAAAAAAACATGTTCCTTTTTGGCGAAATTAGTAACTACCATTTCTTTCGTTCATATTCCATCTCAATTCATTCTTACTTTTCTTTGTACATTTATAAAAGAGTAATATTGATCATCTGCCATAATCGTATGCAATAAAATGAAGAAAATGATGAATGAGTAACATGAAAAACTGGGAGAAGGAAAAGGAAAGAATTTAGTCGAATATGGAAAAGGAAATGGGAAGAAAAGGGGGGTAGATGACGGTACTGGTAAGAAGAGAAAGAACATGAAGAGCAACAGCAGAAGAGAAGGAGGGATGAGGAAGGGAAAGAGAGAGAGAGAGAGAGAGAGAGAGAGAGAGAGAGAGAGAGAGAGAGAGAGAGAGAGAGAGAGAGAGAGAGAGAGAGAGAGAGAGAGAGAGAGAGAGAGAGAGAGAGAGAGAGAGAGAGAGAGAGAGAGAGAGAGAGAGAGAGAGAGAGAGAGAGAGAGAGAGAGAGAGAGAGAGAGAGAGAGAGAGAGAGAGAGAGAGAGAGAGAGAGAGAGAGAGAGAGAGAGAGAGAGGCAGAGAGAGAGGCAGAGAGAGAGTCAGAGAGAGAGAGAGAGAGAGAGAGAGAGAGAGAGAGAGAGAGAGAGAGAGAGAGAGAGAGAGAGAGAGAGAGAGAGAGAGAGAGAGAGAGAGAGAGAGAGAAAACAAAACAGAATGAGAGAGAGAGAGAGATACAAATAAACAAACACACAAATAGACAGAGCGATGGTCATGAAATTCCTCTATATTTCCCGCAGCTGAATCAGGCCTTAATTGCAAAGTCATCCTCCGTCAACCAAGCCCTCGTTGGCGTCTTCAATTTGAATATAAATCCATCGCGCCCATTGTTGACCTAATTTCATCAGCGCGCGAGTGTTCGGCCGCGTTTAAGAGGACACAGGGAAACAAGGATAAATCGGGGAATAAAGGAACACGAAGAATTGACTCGAACGGAATATCAAGAACATACTATGCCTTTTCTGATAATGGAAATAGTAAAAAAAAAAATATATATATATACCGACCATTTTTATCTCTTATCGGAAAACGCTAACAATCTTATTTTTCTCTTTTTTTTTACTGACTGATTTTTTTTCTTCTTTTTTTTGGTCTGTCAGAATCATTCCGTTCACGACCGAACACTCCCCGCTTGCCATGACGGGATAATTCAAGTCGTGATGTTTCCATGACAACGGTGACGTCACGCCTACCCCTATCCCCCCCTCCATCTCTCTCTCCCCCTCCCCCCCACTTTCCCACCTCCTTTTCACACCTGAGAGGCGGGCTCGCTCTATACATATAATAATAAAAAAAAACATGTTCCTTTTTGGCGAAATTAGTAACTACCATTTCTTTCGTTCATATTCCATCTCAATTCATTCTTACTTTTCTTTGTACATTTATAAAAGAGTAATATTGATCATCTGCCATAATCGTATGCAATAAAATGAAGAAAATGATGAATGAGTAACATGAAAAACTGGGAGAAGGAAAAGGAAAGAATTTAGTCGAATATGGAAAAGGAAATGGGAAGAAAAGGGGGGTAGATGACGGTACTGGTAAGAAGAGAAAGAACATGAAGAGCAACAGCAGAAGAGAAGGAGGGATGAGGAAGGGAAGAAGGACCAATAGCAGTGGAAAGAGGAGAAGGGAGGAGGAGGAGGAGGAGGAACAACAGAAGAAAGGGAAAAAGGCGGGGGGGGGGGGTAATGAAGAACAGCAGAAGAAAGAGAAGAGAGGAGGAGGAAGAGGAGAAGGAGGAGGGGGGTAATGAGGAACAGCAGAAGAAAGAGAAGAGAGGAGGAGGAGGAACAGCAGAAGAAAGAGAAGAAGGAGAAGGAGGAGGTAGCGGTGGAGGAGGAGAATAGGATGAAGGCGAGAATTAGGCGTTGAAGCAGGATGAGTAAGAAGAAGAGGTGTGGGGAATAATAATAATAGTAGTAGTGTATGTCATATATATATATATATATATATATATATATATATATATATATATATATATATATATATATATATATATATACGCAGATACACACACGTATTCTTATTCACACAAGTATGTGTGAATAAAAATACGGAGAAAAAATAATTCCGAAGAAAAGAAAGAAGGCAAGAGGAAAAAAACATCCTTGAAAGAGTAACGAGGAAAATCTTGCCGAGATATGTTACGAAGCAATCACATTACCCCAAAACACGACATGAAAGGATAAAACAAAAGAGCATCGATTGTTTATCCAGAAAGCCATCGCGTCACATTCCCCAGCATCAAAACATCCACATTTTCCCACCTTAAGCAAACCAAGACGCTCTATCCACATAACAACCAAAAACCAATAAAGGGGCAAATAATGATACTGAACTCCATCGCCATTCTCAAAACGCATCAGAAACTCCCAACACAAAGAAGGAGAGACGAGCAGCCTCCGCGCACGTCACCTCCGCCGGCTACAAAGGCTTGGCAAGTGACCTGATTTCGCGAACAATGATGGTTTCAATTACCAGAGTTTGGCATGACCTGAGATGGCAATTGGGTTTTGTTCTTGAAAGTTTGCCACGCGTCCTCTAACAGGTTTAACGCATGTGTTACCTGTGTCAGAGGCCAGAATTAGAGCTTGGAATAAGTGTTGTAATGGTGTTACGTGTGTTAATTGGTCGGTGGAGGGGAAAGCTGTAGGTAAACATCCTTCGTGTTAACTGGTCTATGATGGCAGTTGAAAAGTCTTAGATCGATGAGTCTCTGGAATGACGAGATGTCGTTATGCTAATGAGTATCAATACTTAGACAGAAGGCTGACAATAGTCTGTTTTAAGCACACATACGTATGCGTACATAAGTAATTAGTGAAACCGTCTCTGACTGCACATACCTTAGACAAATCATGAATGTGGTAACAACAGGGGGGTACTTTAATACTTTAATACATTTCCGAACCCTCTAAAACATTTTTCGAACCCCTTAGACCATTCTCGATTCATTTCCCATTCCGTCCAAGACATTTCCGAACCTTCGCCCGAGACACATTTTCTTTTTTTCCTCCCTCCCTCCTATTCGGAACTGAACCATTTTCGAACCCGCCCGAAACACGTCCACTAAAAGGAAGCCTTCACACCCGTTTCATCTCGGAGCAATCAACTCCGCCAAGGAAAAAAAGAATCTTATTTTTCATCTCTATTAAGACTTCCAACCGCCAACTTTCTGCTTCCTCCTTTATTCCTGATTTCGGGCCACATTAAAAAAAATCCCATAATCAATTATACTTGTTAAACTTTAATTAGCTGGAGGACTTACCTTAATTGGTGTGACGTCATGGCCATCATCATTTCACAT